GATATACTGCTGAGGGGAGCAGTGGGCGGGTCAGGAGAGGTCTGCCACGCCATGTGGTCTCCTCCGGGGCAGGCAGGAATCGAACTCATGCGGAAGTGGCTTAAGCTTCTTTGTGCCGTGCTTTAACCCACTGCGCCACCAGGGAGGGCCCCTCTGCTGCTGTTTTAAATCTAAAGCTTTATCTTTCTGCAAAAATGATACATGACCATTGTAGAAACTTTAGAAAGTAAAGGTAATAACTTAACTTACTTTTCATGAGATTATTAATCCTTTGGTGTGTGGCATTTCAGTGTTGTCACTAACATATTGTCTGCGTGGAAAGGACACTTAAGCCACGTTTTTTGAGGCCAGTCTGCTAGACTTGTCCCTTCTTCCTCTGCCTCTTGCTGTCCATGCTTCTTGGCAGCTGGCCTCCTCCCTGCCACTCCCTGAAACTGTGACTTCCTGGTGGCCAAGTCAGCGTGTGTCACACCTGGCACTCCATGGTTGTGGACATTGTTGACCTGGTTGATCAGTCATTAAAACGATCAAGATAACCTGTATTCATTGACATGAAAAATGTTCCTGTACTTTTGTTGAGTGGAAAAAAACAAGTTATAAAACAACATGCATAAAATGATCTCATTTTTGTCATGTATGCTTATGGAAACACAAAAACTGAAAACTTAAAGGTCAGTTTTTTAAAGGGGTGGCTTCTGGTCTTCCCTGGTGGTGCAGGGATTAAAATTTCAGTGCTGTCAAGCTATCACAGACAGCCATAAATTCGATTTCCAGCCAGGGAGCTGACCCACAAGGCACAGCAGTCCTCTCCTGTCACTCCTGCTGCTCTGCTTAGCAGTGTATTTCAGTAGCTCTGCCTGTTCTGCTCCCCACTCTGTCTCTGGTGAATCCTCTCACCTCCTGCACCTCTGTCTGTACCCCAGTTTTTGTATACATACATAAATAAAAATTCTTAAAGGGTTAGCTTCAAAGAGGTGGATTTTGGAGGAACTTTTTTTTCTACTTTATTTCTACTTTATGTTCTTGGATTTTTTTGTAACTTGCAGATGTTTTTATACATTTTCATTTTGTTAAAAAAAAAACCAAAACCCAAAACTTTGGGGCTGTATTTTTTTAAAGAATAGGATTCCGGCCTCCTTGATGGTGCAATGGGTTGTGACACAACACTGCAAGCTAGCCTCACTTGCTTCAGTGCAGGTTCAGTCCCCAGCCTCGGAGTGATCTACATGGCGTGGCAGACCTCTCCTGACCTGCCTGCTGTTCCC